CAATTTTCATGCAAAAAGAAATCCAAGAGGATATATCACATTAGAAACACATCAACAGGAGGGTGATGACTATGGTTTGTGTTTATGTATTTACATGTTATTCGTGTTGCTACAAGTATTTTGGGAGATCTGACTCTGGATTTCATTTGTACTATCAGAATGAATTTTTTTTTCTTACAAAATGAATGTTCTGTAGTTTTAATTATTGGAATTAGTTCCACTGAAACAGAATATCTATTTCATAGTCCCTAACTAAACTTATTTGCTTTGCCCACTTTGCATCACTTTCATTTTATTACTAAATAGATTATAAAATCTATGTGAGATTATCATTGTGTGACAAAATACCCAAGAAAAATGCTTATAAAAGGTAAAAAGATTTATTTTGGGTCATGGTTTGAGAGAATTCAGCCCAGGTTCAGCTGGATGCGTTGTTTCTGGAACTATGGTAAGACAAAACAAGGCAGGGAGCAGGTGGTAGAGCAGACTTGATAACCTCACAGCAGCTGGGAAATAGCGTGCAAGTGGACAAGGACAAAATTCTTGAGAATTCCCCCAGTGACTTTCCTCCTCTGAAGCTCCACTACCTCTCAATAATGCCATCACATTATGAATCCATCAATGCATTCATGCACTGATGAGGTTTGAACCCTCATGATCCAGTCACTTTCCCAAACCTAAGAACACTGTTGCATGGAAACCAGGACCAAGTCTTCAATTCAGGAACTTTGGGAGACATATCAGATCCAAAGTTTAACAACTTTATACCACTACAAAGGCCAAATATTTAGGAATAGCCAATACTAGTTAATCTCTTATCTTCCCAGATGTCTTACCCTCCTGAACATCAACTAAAGTTATTCTAGGGTGATGGTGATTGCTGACCAAAATGAAAAAACCATCCCAACTTTTTTTCTTATAAGCTTTGTTCCTGTATATCTCAAACTATCATGTCTTAAGTTTTAAGTATTTTAAAAAATGACTGAAACTCACCTCTAAATTATTTGAACGGATTCATTCCAAAAGCCCTTTACAGAATTTATACAAATTGGCCACTATTTCTTCTTACTCTTCTTGTAGTTTAAGCCAAACTGTGGTCTTCAAGCAATATCCAGCCTGGTGCCTGTTTTTGTACAGGAAGTTTTATTGGAACACAGCCAGGACTACTCATTATCTATGGCTGCTTTTGTGTTACAACAGCACAGATAAGTAACTGTGACAGACCAAATGGCCTTCAAAGTCTAAAATATTTATTATATAGATTTTTACAGAAAATGTTTGCCAACCCCTATTTTAAGCACTTCCACATTGGGGAGAAAAAACAAACTAAAAATGTAAATTTATAATTCCCATCACAAAGAAACACTTTGGTCTACACATGAATTAATAAGAATTTTTGTTGGCTAGCCTGGATTATCTAAACACTACTTACATTGTTTCTTCATATTCTTCAAAAAACAAGTTTATTTCTGAGATCAGGTTTAGAGAAGTAGGAAAGTTGTTGGCAATAGCAAGCATTGCTCCAAATTAGACTAAAGGTTTACATACCCACATTTAACAGTAAAATTTTCAATATTAGAAATCTTAAAATTCTTAAAAATTAAAAGCTACAATGAAATTTATATTTTCAAATAAAACAGTTTATAAAATTCATTATTAATATATTCATATTACTTTCAGATCTAATGCATTGGGTGGGCCATCAAAGGATTTTACCAACAATCTTTTTAATCAGTCCTATCTTTCCTGGTCATCTTTAATATTCAGTTCTAATTTTGGGCCCAATTTATTAAAATTTTATTAGTACTTTTTCTTTGCTAGATTAAAGACATTTTAACCACATCTCTGAGTGCTAGGGAGCAACTTTTTAAAGTACTGGTAAACCACCACTAGTTCAGTGGGATAAATGCCAATGGCTTGAATACCTGTAGAAGACAAGATATACTGTCTAGTGACTTTCTTAAAAAAAAAAAAAAAAAAAAAAATTATGAAAAAAAACACATATAGCTTGCACTACTGAGGTTATTTGTGTGCACAATTTATATAATACAACATTTCTCTTTTCAATTAGTTTTTCATAAATATTAAAGTATCAGAGTACTGATTTTTTTCTACGTTTTCAGAATCAATAGATTTCCACATAATTTAAGAGAAAAATAAAACCAAGCCACCACACTTATAATTTAGGCAAAATATTTTTTCAATAAAAATGTAGAAATATTTTAATTTACATATTACACTGAATCAATATGAAGTCAAAATTCACAATTACATGTTTCTAAAAATTCCAAATATCTTCCTCAGAATAACTGGTTTCTGTACAAGATTTAGATGTCCAATATACGTAGTTTTTCCTCAGTGTGCTACAGAATTTAGAGGTTCTGCTCGTATGTTCCCCAAGTCAAGCGCAGAATCTGTCTCTTCATCAATTTCTCCAATGACAGCACTATAATTATTTATGGAGGGGAAAAAAAAAATCAGAGTTGAAATAAACACATTTCTTAAATATATTCATGGGTATTTCTGAAATTTATTAATCAAATCAAAGCACTTGGCATCATTCTTCCAACACATATAAAACTGAACTACTTAAGATAGAAAGTAAACAATATTTTCATGAGTTAGTGAACTGCACATTTAAGTGTCAAAATGAAGGTAACATTATTACAGGAAGCAATATTAAAAGAATACTGATAAATGTTAAAAAATCAGCTGTTTGGAGAAAAAGTGAGAGGCTGATTTATAGCATTTACCAATATTCTTCATGCAAATACTCCCACCATGGCCAATTTCAAGCTACTACAGACATCAATCAATTAGTTTGCAAAATTCTTGAAAATATAACAATCTGTTTTATGAATCAGACCAAACTGGCTCTAGCACACCAATAGGTCTAGGCCAAAGATTTAAATTTTTTTATTATAGTAAGAGAAACTTTATTCAGAACAATTATTACACATACCCCAAAATAAACAATCATTGTTGTTGTAGTAAGGGGATCTGGGTCCAATCTGGTTTGCTTCTCTTTCTTTACAACTTATTTGTAATTTCACCTAAAAGTCATCTCTATACAGAATATTTTATAAATCCCCAATTTGTTTAAAGATCAAGTTACCTATCTAAAGGTGATATTAAGATTTAAAAAAATAAAGTATTCCTTCATCTTCTATATTTTACATATCCCCCAAATAACCTAAAATTGCATACTGCCTTCCAATCATACTTTGATGTATAAAGAAGTAAAAAATTACCTTACGATGACTTTCTTAAAAATCAGGGCAAAAAACAGTTTTCATGACTGATGTTTGAATGACTCTTCAATGAATTTTCCAAAAATATTAAAAAACTTGCTAGAAAATTTTATTTAACATTTTTTCTAGCCTCTATAACTGTATTAATACTAGCCACATGTGACTATTAAAAATGACAATTTAATAATATTTAAAATTTAATTCTTCAGTTAGGTCAGCGCTTTTCAAATGTTTAAGAGCCCCATATAGCTAATAGCTAACATTTCAGAAAACACCAATATGCAAATTTCCAATCATCTGAAAAAAATCATTCTGGTCAGCACTGTTCTACATAGTTCTGGATTTTCCTTAAACTGCTACTTCTAAAATAATCTTAATCTGGATTATCAATGTGTCCCAAGTTAACTGAGACCACATAAACATGGGATGTCGTCAGTGTGTCAATTATACTTTAAAAATTAATGAACTATAAATAAGCATGAATTATTTAAAATTGTTCAAAAAGGAGATTTCAAAGACATTTTTAAACCCTAGGAGTGTATTTATGTTCTTCTAAAATTCAGAGTATTTGGAAGAATGCTTTAGAAAGCTTCTACTGAAGTATTTGGTATAAGGAAGCACCCTTTCTCGACCCTATTCAGGTCATTTAACTATTAGAAATTTGGACAAATCTAAGTAGGTCAAGGTTTAATTTGTAAAAAGATCATTTAGGTTAGCTCCTGAAAAAAATCAACATAAAATGCATAAATTTTTGCCTTATTTTAAACAAATATAAGAAAAGCCACATTTATAAAATGAATGCAACATTTTATGATCTACGTATGAATGATACGGTATGATATTTGGGGAAAAATCTCTATTCCATAAAGCAAGGAAGCATACCTATATTATAATTCTAACCTAACTTGAAAGGATATATTTTACAAAGGGGTAGGGATGCAGCCAAGTGGTATAGAGCTTGTCTAGCAATCATTACTACTGCCAAAAGAAAAAAAAGGAAAACATATTTTACTTACACATTGTCACCTCTTACAATGTATAGTCCTAGTACTACTTGCTCTACTCCCTGTGAAGAGCTAAATACTCGTTCATGGCTTTCATCCAAAATCAAATTAATGGTTTGGTCAAAACCTTTCAGTGTTCCCTAAAAAGAAAACATACAAGAGAAATATTCCAGTTTACTGAATGTGCAAATTCAACCTTAAAACTACTGTAGTTATCTGTAAGTTGCCAATCCTAAATATAAGTTCATTATTTTCTTTGTAACCAACAGTATTCCAGGGCACAGAACTCACCTTTATGATAAGAAAAAAAAGGTTCACCACATATTTGACTAGTGTGCAGAGTTGAGAGTTACAAAAGATAGTATTACCAGAGTACTTCCTAATAAATAACATAAAGATCACATAATCCAATAGTTAACATTCTAAAAACGAAATTAAAACAAGGGAGATTTAAGAAAAGATCATGTATAAATAAGAGGTATAAACATGCATATCAACTATAGCAAATTAACAGTATCATTACAAGCTACACACTAGTGTAAGGTACTGTACTACATATGCTGCACACATTATCTCAACTAATTTCTACCCTTTGAGGTAAAACCATAATTATGCCCATTTCAAAAAAGAAAAACTGAGGCCCACAGAAGAATCTTTCAAGGTCTCCTGAAGAGTAAGTAGCAGACCCAGGTACAAAACCACAAAAGGCTAGCTCCAGAGTCACACCACTGAACCACTACTTATTATTATAAATAAATGAATATAACCTATCATTTTTCTAAGACTGAAATTTATCCCATAAATACATACAAACTTCAAATGGTAGTTACAATACTTTATGAGTTCTTTCTAGCTGCCAGTATTCTGTGTGTCTCACATGTATTATTTAATTCTCTCAATAATACAATAAAGTAGATACAAATATAATTCTGATAATTAAACCAGAACTTGAAAGAAATAATCAGGAAAAAATTTATGGTTTTAAATAAGGAAGACATGGTCCTAGCCAAACACAGTGACTCAGATGCTATTCAAGTTTCTGAAGAATCATCAACTTATGTTGATTTTGAATGGTTAACCTCTCAAGATCACTGTTAAATGTATCATGATTTGAAAATCAAAATACATAAAATCAGAAGGTAGTAAGGAAAAACTCAGAATCTAGAATTTGTAAGAGAAACAAAATTTGGAGTAATTGCTATACTAGTTAGCAAATGGTTGTTGTTATAACACCTATACATAACTTCCCAGCTTTATTTTACACAGAAATACTGTATCAAGTAACTATATGTCAAAGAAATACAGAACTATTTAAGTTTAGGATTAAAAATTCTCTTTTTATATAGCTTTCCTTATTCTATAAAATTAACTTTTCAATTTACTATCTACACTGCTAACAAGAATAAAAAATTTAAATGAGGTTTTCTCAAAATAAAAAAAATTATTTGCAAGTATCCATTCATAGCAATAGGCTTCTTAAAGCCTATCAATAGTGGCACATCATTAGGTGATTTCATTATTAGGTAAAAATCATTAAGACTGTCCTTATACAAAGACAGTTACATCACTATTGACATTAAAATATTTCAACTGTCCATATTTGGCAAAATAGAATGTGAGGTACCTAAAAAATTCATGGCTGCTTCCTTAATTAAAGAGAAAGAAAGGCAATTAACCTAGGTTTTGGAAACAAGCCCAACTTAAATCCTCATTTGGTTCTGTCACTTATAATGCTGTTTCTCTAGGATAAGGACTCACTCTCTGAGCTTGGCTCCTAACTTAGAATACAGGGATAATTCTTCATAAGGTAGTAGTGCAGACTATATAATAACAAAATGCCTGGCACATGCTATGCATTTAATAGTCCAGCACTTTGACTAACAGCAGTCACTAAGGATCTACTGAGAATTACAAGGATTATAAAGAAAGAAATAAAAGACTGTAGAATGAGTAAACAAGGAATTATAGTCATGCACTGCATAACAATATTTCAGTTCAGAATGGGCTAAAAATAACTACAATGGGACCATAAGATTATATCACCTAGTGATGTCATAGCTGTCTTTGTGTAAGCACTCTTATGATGTACAATGAAATCACCTAATGGATCCACATTATTAAGGAATATATATGTATGACTCTACATGCATATACTATCTAAATCATAAGTTTCCAAGAACGATCCACAAAATTCCAAAAAAAAAAAAAATATATATATATATAATGATTGCCTGTGAATACTAGAGCACTGAATGGGGAAGGAAATAAAAAATGGAAGAGGAAAATAAATAAATATAAGATACAGATCTGCAGATTAGAAGTTCTCTAAGGGCACAACCTATTATTCTATTTACTAGATGCCCTGTGCTATACACTGAATGTTTATTTGTAAAGAAAATATGGATCAGCAGCAAAGAGATAAAGAGCTGAATCAAAATTAAATTGCAACACAAGTACACTATGGTGCTTAAGCACCAGAGATCAGGTTACCAATATGACCACAAAAAGCAGAGAATGAAATGTCAAGCACTTACCACAATCATTCTCCCATCAGAAGTAATAACAGCAACAGTTCCTGATAACTGAATCAAGGAAAACATTTCTTACAGAATGAAAACTTAGATTAGGTACAGGAATCATTTGAATTACTAGAAAAAAAGATGAAGAATCTAAAGCCACCTATTTAACACATTCACTATGTTCAATAAGTTCTTCCCTTGATAATTAATCAGAAAGCTCCTCTTCACCTTCCCTCAAAAGAGAAAGAAAACAAAACACCTTTTTATATGATCAGCATATACTGTTGCAGGTGGAATTAAATTTGGCACTTTTTTTTTTTTAACTAGAAATGTTGACAATCAATGATTCTGAGAAATATATTTCCCCCTTAGGACTACTAATTCATTTTCAAAATGTTGTATGATTTCAGATACATTAAGACACTTGTCTTCTAGGATTTGACTTGTGGAATTCAAAAGAAAAGAAGCTGTAATTAACTTCACAGGATATTAACCATACATCCATCAATAAAAACTTTCAGTATTTAACATGTCCCCAATTTGTACATGAGCACTTGTTATGTTTTTGTCCTAGAATTTAAAACAGTAACATTTGCAAGACTACTTAAAAAAAAGAAAAAACTTCACAAGTTTTTTTTTTAAAGTTATTTGTCTTTTTTTTTTAAGTTATTTAACCTTTTAGAATAGCAAGCATGTTTTTATTCTACCAATAAGTTGAGACTTCAAGTAGAATGGAGCAGAAATTCAATTTGTGGGACAACTTTGCTATCTTCAAACAAAGAGCAAAGCCTGTGAATAAAAAAAATACGTAGACTTACAAAACGTTACAAACATCACTAGGACAACTGTTCATCTTATTTCCAAACTTGAACATAAAAGAGTAAGAATGAATCATTATGGGGATTTTATATACACAAAAATTCTGAATGATTACACTAAAATTAAAAATGCCTAGGGTCCAAAGGCTCGGCTGGCCAAGCCCCCAACCAGGGGTTGGCGGGTCGGAATACTCAGCCCCTAACCCTCACCCAGACCGCTCGCGGATCCCTACCCCCTGCCTCCCTCGCAAGGGTCCCGCTCCAATCCCCACGGGAACGCCGCCGTGGCCCCGGAGGTTACTGCAGCGGGCTAGAGGATACGGTTGATGTAGTTCTCCAAGGCAGACGTCATGCTACTAGGCCCAGTGGTTCCAGGCAATGATGCGGCGCAGGCGACAAACAGAGCTAAAAGGGCCCGCCAGAACCAAGCCGCGGCTCGCGCCCACCGGCGGCAACAAATATCGCGAGACTTGCCTCACAACAGCAGCCGCCGCGTCGGAAATTGAAAGGAACCGGCCACCAAACAGGAAGCAAATCAGTGATGAGCTAGTGCGCATGCGCAGTGTGTTTCCGCTACTTTTCCGGGCCGTGATCCGGAAGCCGAAAAGCACGAAAGCCACAGACAAACGAAAAAAAGGAAGAGCCTTCTTGAAAATGGGGTAGGAGGGAGTTGGTGGAAAAAGGCTGGTAGAAGCTACCGGCGGAAAAAAATGGAAAGAAAAGGCAGGCAGGAAGAAACAGAATGAGATGTTTTCGTTACGAATGAAGAGAGGTGTTGAGTTCTTATATAAAATATACGTGCAGGGAAGTGGAATCCCTGTTTTTTTCCACCACGGGTCGAATATTAAACAGAAAAAAAGAAGTTAAATGGCCTAGGACATCTTGTGCATGTTTAATTAAATGATGTACATCTCTGGAAAACCCAGCAATGAAAAGCATGTGTATTCTATGTTCGACTCTAAAAGTACTCCAAAATGGAGGCATTGTTAACTTCTTTAAGAAACTAAATCCAAATAAGGTGTGTAAGATGACCATGTTTCTACCACACCATGAGGGCTACCTTTTTTTCAGGATGAAATTTTTAAAAATAAAATAAAAGGCTACTGCACTTCCGTGAAAGGATTGATTCAGCAAATGTGTAATAGGTAAGCACCAGACAGGGTTCTAGTCCTTGCTCTGCTGTTTGTCGTTTTTGTATGAGGCATTTCACCTCTTAAGGACCTCAGTTTCCTGAGATCCTTCCACAGCTATCATTTGAGATTTCTACATGAGACCAGAAAACGTCACAGTTCTCACCTTTTTTTTTTTTTTTTAACTGTGGTTTTCTAACTTCAAAGGGCTTAAAGTTTAGGAACGCTGGCAGAAAAGATTTCCCTTTTTCACAAAATATCTTTATGATTTTCGTGGGGTTTTTTCCCCCCTTAACTGAAGAATTGTGGCTTTGAAAATATCTTGCAGTGGTGGTAGTTTTCCTCTGAAAATTGAGGCTTCTCTCTTCATTAGAGCTTACCCACAAAATATTATAACCCCAATAGTTAACATTTTACAGGCTTTTGAAGCTTTGTATAATCAGGAATTAAGTGTTGAGTGTCCCATGTTTTGTAGGGGACAGATAAAATTTCATACATGAGATTTGCAAAGGTTGTGCATTGAATTAAAAGAAAACTGAACTACCAATTAATGATAGAATTTTTTGAAATAACCGATATGTCCAGGTAGATTTTCATCTCTTAGAATATGCTTATGTTTGGAAAACTTTATTAAATAGTAACTTAAGAAGTAATTTCATCGTAAATACATTATAAGCCCATGAACCTTATGTAGTTTCCATAATATTAATATGCCAAATAAGTAGCAGATTTGCGGAGTTTATAGAGCATGCACAAAATCTCTTTGGTTTAAAATTTATTTTACATATGTCTTAAAACCTATTTTCTGTGGTCTCTAAGGATCACAAATGTGTAGTGTGTGCATATGGATAAAGAAAAGTCCATTTATTAAGAAAAAAATTACATATTGTTGCAAGCATCACATTTGTGATTTAATTTAATTAGTCTTGTAACCCTGGGAGTAGGTAAGAGAGTTTAACATCTTATAAAGGAAAGTTAAAGTTCCAAAGAGAAAAGAAAATTGTTGTGTGTGTGTGTGTGTGTGTGTGTGTACTTGTGCGTATACATGCACATCCAGACAATCTGACAACCCAAAATTTGAAAGATAACAGACTTTCAGTTTAATTCGAGTTGCAATTTCTAAAAGTCCTCACTTAAATTATGTTCTATTGGTGGTAAAGCATGAACCAAAGTATGCTTTAATTTATTTCTGAAACTCAATCTTGGGCAAGAAAACATTAACCTGAAGAGTAAAACTCCTACTAGAATCTTAGAAAACTAAACTTTCACTTCCTTGTGAATAGTTAAGAAAAAAAATCACAACGGTAATTTGAAAATTAAAATAATATTTTAACATGATGAGAATTTTTATTTTTTACTGATATTCCTACAAGTTGCAAAGGTATCAATAAATAAATATTGAATATTTGTATCTAGGGTTCTCTTCAGCAAAAAAAGCACATATATAAATAATGATTCTCTTTTTACAAGGACATTTCTCAGTAGTTACAGAGCTTTAGTTATAAATGTATAATAATAATACATGGAAAACAATACCTAATTATAAATAAAGCAACATAATTTATATAAACTCTTAGTTCATGTAACAGTATAAGTTATAATTTACACATAATTTTTTTCCATGTCTTTATGAAGACAGATGTTTTTAAGTCTATATCTTAAGGGATAGAAAAAAGGCTATTCCAAGTGACATTGAGAATCAGCATAGGATCATGATTAAGAATGTTAGCCTGAGGGTATAAGTTGGTGGTAGAAGGCTTGCCTAGCATGTGCAAGACCATGGGTTCATTCCCTACATGGGGGAAAAATTGCTCAGTAAGAACAGTAGCTTATGATTGAGCCAGTCTCAAGGATGTACAGTCACAAGTTATTGTACAGCAAAGTGTTTCTCCAGGTCTGCATTGGTGAAATCAGTTGATTATGAAATAAACTGAATCACTTGTCCTTCAGAAGAATTATAGTGTACAAAAAATTAAGGATGAGTCAACTAATTTTGCCTAGTATTCTAACATTGCTCCCTTATTTAATAATCACAAGTGAATTTATACATATTATTAAAAAACAATGCTCTAGCACAGCAGACATCAATATTCCAGAAGATCTGGATTTTAAATACAGTAAATCTGCCCCTATTTTACTTCTCTTTCCCTGTGGTTCACATTCTCTTTTAGCACCAGGTATTTTTTTT